GACCCTTACGCCTTCGCCCTCACACCCGGGCATCCGTCGCCCTCGCAGGCAGGGGCCACAGCCCTGTTCCCTTGCAGCCACTGCTCCTTCGTCCTGGAAGCACTGAAGTTCATGCCGCGCAAGGAGGACAGCGCGGACCACAAGGCTCGCTGCCTCTGGTTCCTGGACGCCCTCGTCAAGTTCAGTTTGCAGACCGTGATTAAGAAGAAACGTAAGTTGATAGCAGAAGCAGCTCTCAGCCCTGCTCCCCTTTCAGCTGCCGTTCATGGAGTCTTAAATCCGGGGGGGAGGGAATCCACGGGGGGGACAGACGAGCTCTGGCAGGCACGGTGGCAGGCTGGGCCCCGTGCTCGCTAGGGATGTTTAATTTAGTTTAATCAGCTAATCGACTAGTCGATGGATTTTTCCATCGATTGGTCGATAAGCAGGGGAGCTGCAGCAGGGCTAGCCCCAGTCCTGGCGGCTAACCCCGCTGCGGCTCTGCCTTTTAAACGTAGGAAGAGCCGGCAGTAAGATTCCCGGCTCGCACTGTGTGTTACCGCAGTTCGTAAGTGCGAATTCTAAGGAAGCCCTCTTATGCGTGTGGATCGTTTCACTGCAAAACCCTCTCCCTTCCAGACACAATGGGCCCTGACTGTCCGCCTGTCATCAGCAGAAAACTCATGAACCAGTTCACTGCCCAGACGTACAACCACGGCAGGTACGCATGGCTTGCGGTGTTTGCAGTCGGTGTGCGAGCACCCTGTGGTCAGGGAGCAACTCCCTGGCCGCGTAACAAGCTCTGACTTGTATTGAGCATTGCGGGTCCCACGGCCGGGGCCGCTGCTCACACGCTGAGAGACCTAGGAACCGGCTCCGCTTCCCGAGTGCAGGTGAGGAGCCGGGCAGGGGCGTTCGTCGGTATAACGATGCTGGAGTTAGGGGTGTAAATACCATTTTAAAAATCAACCATTTAAACAATTAAAAAATTCAGTTTAACAATTCATTGATTAAAGGGCCAGCTCCCGGCTGGGGCCAATCCGGTGCTCACACGCTGAGAGACCTAGGAACCGGCTCCGCTTCCCGAGTGCAGGTGAGGAGCCGGGCAGGGGCGTTCGTCGGTATAACGATGCTGGAGTTAGGGGTGTAAATACCATTTTAAAAATCAACCATTTAAACAATTAAAAAATTCAGTTTAACAATTCATTGATTAAAGGGCCAGCTCCCGGCTGGGGCCAATCCGGCTGGCTGGTGTCACTCGGGCGGGGAGGCACACTGGCTGGGGCAGTGAAGGTGGTTAACTCGTAAGAAGCCTGCTCACGGGTTCAGCTGTTGTTCTAGCTGGGATCACTGGGCCAGTGTAGACCCGGCCTCGGTGCCGGCGGAAATAACCCCTGTAAGGAAACCAGTGCACCTGTGTGGGCGCGGGCACGACCCACGTCCTCCGGCCGCCTGCTTTCTCGGAAGCATCATACAGACCGGAGGGCAGGGAGCCTGGTAGTGGCCCTGCATCACCCTTGC